GAGGGCTCTGTCATCCTTCTCCTCTGGTCTAGAGCTGGTCAGGGAKATTTTACAGCCCCAGGAGAGGCTGGAAAGCACCTGGGTTCTGTGTGCCCCCTGAGATGCCTTCTGGCACCCCTGCAGCTGCAGTGTGAGGATGCCCCATGCCTTTCCCCAAGCTCTCCAGGGCCAGCAGCCGCAATTGTCTCAGCCTTGACCATTGCCCTCTTCCTCCCTTCTCCTCCCATCCCTGAGAACRTGGGATTCCTCTTCCTGCACTTTGATCTCTCCAATTTTTAGCTCATTCTGGCTGCTTTATAGGCACTAATCCCTCTGCAGGCACCGGGGAGAATCCACCTACACTCCATGCAGTCTTAAGTCTTATTGTGTAAACAAAATCTCAAACATGAAATCCCTAATCCTTAATGGTTGGAGCCTCGGATACCTGTTCCCCCGTGTCCTGCCCGATGGAGGCTGGAAAAGAGGGAAGGTCTCTGCCATGTTTGCTCCCATCCTCAACCTGAGTGCACATTAAACATCTGTACACGCTTTTAACCTTGGTATTTTCCCTATTTCCTTCTTCACAGTGGCGAGCCACCCCTGGCCCCCTCCCTGCTCCACTGCATTTGTTCAGCTTAGGGGATCAAACTGGGTGACATTTGGAGTTGGGATATTTAAAATGCAAATTTCCCCGCGGCAGATAAGTGGAATTTGCTCCCTCTTATGAAGGGAATCTCTGGGGAGAGCCGAGCACTACGGCCAGCCTGCTCTGAATGCGAAATGCAGCCAGGGGGAATCCCTGCCTCCCCCCTGCATGGCACTCCTGGGCAAACACTGCTGCAATAACCACCCTCACCACCACGAAGGTATCCAGATTTCCCCCAAACGCTGTGAGAGGTAAGAGCTGCGGGCCGGCAGAGAAACCTGTGGTGTTTCTGGATTACAGCCAGGGAGGGAGAAATCTTGGTGGCCGCTGGTGTAATCCCAGAATTGATGTTTTCTTCCTCTGCACCCGGGGTGCTGCTGATGCATTTGTCTCTCCCTCCCAGCTTGGAAATTAAAGCTTTCGCCACTTTTCTTGCTGCARAGGAAAAAATGTGTGTCTGAGAGGGAGATTTACACTTTGCTTTCCTTTCTGGAAATGGAGCGTGATTTTCCAGCGACTGCAGATGCTGGGCCTGTCCTGACGCATTGAGAGGAGCTCTTGAATGGGGAGAAGGAGCCCCCCACCCCTCCACCCTCCCAACCTGTGACCAGGTGGGTTTGCACCCCAAAGGSTTTGGGTGAGAGGGCTGCAGTCCTGTGTTCCCCTCTCTGCACTCCCACTCGTGCCCCTCTTTGTGCCCCCCTCTTTCCTYCCCCTCCCCASTGCAGGCTCCAGSCTGGGCTGATTCACCTCYTGGCACGGCTGAAACCTGCTAAACCCCCACGAAGAGACAAGTGGAACATCTTTAGGAAAAAAACCACTCGATTTGCTGCCAACCCCACCTAGGATGYGACTGCAGACACCAGACTGYGCATGGGGGGCACGGRGGTGTGGAAATTACAGCRGGGTTGGGATGGAGAGGAGCAGCCRCGGSTTGGGAAGCTCTGGGAGRRCTGGGGGGAGTTCACCYGGAGCTGTTCCTGTGCATCAGCTTCATCCCYGCCTGCCCACGGTCCCCCACTCACGCAGCAGCAACTTAAAGCAGAGGGAAAAAAACATAAAGCAGAAAAAGTTCAGGCGGCTCTTTGAGCTGGTCCCGGGCTCCTGCAGTGACTGGGGGCTTCCCACAAACCGTCATGCACCGAGGAATATCTGGAGCGTCATAAATACACTCTGGGAACGAAGGAAAAAGGATTTGAATTTCAACTTTGATGCATAATATGCTTTCTCTAAAAAAAAAAAAAAAAAAAAAAAAAAAAAACAAACCAACAAACCAGCCTTCTTGGCAGGGACCAGACAACTTCACACTAAATCTCCTGCAGGAGCATGTTGCCAGTTGCAGAGATAAAACCTCAATGAAACACAATTAGTTTCCACTTGGATTAGCCAAACCCGMGTCTCTCCTCCCACCCAGACACCCCGGCAGCGGGAYGGGGACCGCTCGGTGCCATCCTCCWGTGTCCCCAGCCCTGCCRGGAACGGGACGGCTCTGCCCCGGGGGGAGGATAACTCTCTTTTCACGGCTAAGGGGAGCTGACAAGTGATGAATACACGAAAGCCGGAGCGCTGCAGGGCAGCCCCTGCCATCTCACCGAGGACGGCGGCTCATCACGGCTGGTTTGCTGCGGTTCTCTGAGGTTTGGAGGCTGCTGGGGAGCCTGGGGCAGGGTCTCCATGCTGTCCCCTACGGTCCAGCCGGCTTGGGGTTGGGGCACTGCACCGCTGCCTCATTTCCCTGCTCAGTCCCGAAGGAGGGGACATGCTGGAAGCAAAGGCTGCTGAGAGATTTTTTTTCTTTAGGCAGGAATATCTCAAATGTTGCATTTATTTTTCTTTTCCCCTAAAGGCTTATAAGCTGGGGGGGAATCTCTAGCCTTGGAGATTTTATGTTTAAATATCACTCACGGTGGCAATGTCTCACCCCTGTTTGCCCCTGACTCCTCGGTGTCACTCTGAGCCCAGACAAGTGTCAGGCTCGCTTGTGCCGCAGGCGCATTTTTGGAGCAGGCTCACGCCTTCAGGCTGGGTCGCCGTGCCCCAGCGCCAGGCTGGCAGGAGCAGATCGTGGAGGAGGGAGAAAAAACRCCTCGGAGCCATCCCGGGGACAGGAGCCCTCCCCGAACCCCGCAGGTTCCGGGGGCAGCTGACACGGGGACCAAGGGCTGCTGGCAGGGCTCTGAGGGGAAATCAGCCTGTTTATTAAGAGCTTAATTACCCAATAACCAACGGTGGACTTCGCTSAGCCTCGAAGCAGGCCAAGCGAGTSAAGTGCCCCCAGGGAGGGCCAGAGGAGGTGAGCCGAGGGCAGGCTTTGCCTTCTGCCGTATTTGGGAATATTTGCAAGATCTGTACATGGAGAGAACAGAATCCTGCAGCCCCCTCAGTACCTCTGTCCCTGCTCTCTCCAAGGTGCCACTGGGAGGGCAGGGATGGGCATCACTTGCCCCTCAAACAGTACAATGTACCCCGGGCAAAGGGTGGACATTTCTGGTGGCAGAAAGGGAGGGCAGTTTGCGAGCTGGAGAGGGAGAAGAATTTCCTTGGCTTGGTGTGTTTTGCTGCAGAAAGGCGGTTTCAGCTCCGAGGGTAAGGGAAATGAAACAGAAAAATGCTTCCTATTAAGCAGAAGGGATGGAGGGCCCTGCGTAATCGCGCTGTCTGCAGGGGCTGCTCGCTCCGCATTTGCATCCAGCGCGGGCTCGGCCAGCGCCCGGGGAGCCGCGCCGTGCARAGGGGCTGAGGGACACGGGGACGAGCTCCAGCCCTGCAGCTCCWCCTGGAACAGCCGCATTCTGCCCCAGGGAGGGCGGCAGTGCTGCGAGAGGGCAGGTGGATGATCTCCGCACGGATCCTGGGCGGGTCCCGTGGGGAGACGGGGATGTCTCAGCTCATGGCGTGGACTGAGACAGGGGCAGAATGAGCTGCTGGAGGGGCTTTGGTCAGTGCCCACGGACAGTTCTGAGGGTCTCYTGGGACATGGGCAGYGCCAGCACATCCTCTTGCCCTGCCTGCATCCACACAGACCCAGAGAACGGCCCCAGAAGAGACCCCAAACCCCGCAGGCAACTCTTGCCCAGGGCGGGTCCTCGTTAGGGGATGTCCTTTCCCTTAAATTTTAAAAAAAGCCCAAATAGACCCAATGGCTGTGTGGCAGGAGGAACAACATTCCTTSTGGAGCTTTCCCAAGTAATTCACCCTCTGAGAAATTAATTATCGGCATCGACGCTGCGTTTAATCAGCATCAGTCCCTGCGTGCGCGGGGTCGGAGGGTGTTGCTGGCTCTGGGTTCCTGCCGGCAGGGAGGAGYTCGGCTGCTGCCCGTGGGATGGGAATTGTCAGAAAGGAGTGCAGATCCATCCGGGAGGCCCTGACAGCTGTGCAAACACCCCCGGGGCAACAGCACCTGCCAGCTACGCCCCGGGTGGGTGGAGTGACAGGGCAGCCCGAGCGCTGAGAGTGGCTCAGACACCCACACAGGGCTGGGAGCAGGAATCCAGCCCGGGAGACGGGGCTCTGTGCCCCAATCCTCCGCCAAGGACGGCAAACCCACGCAGGCATTGTGCACAGACGTGTGGGGGCAGGTGTGTGGCGCGCCGGGATGTGACAGTGGCTGCTCGCTGGGGGACACGGGGGCATCTGCTCCAGCAGAGCTGCCGCTGGCTGCGTTTCCCTGACAAATGGTGTTTGGTTTGGTGCTGGAGCCTTAATGAAAGCGGTGGCGGCTGCGGGAGTGGGGAGGGGAGCCTGAAGGATRCTCTGGGGAGAAGAAAAGRACAAAAGGACCGTAGAYAGTCCCTTGGCAATGGCCAGATGRCTCCTKGAAGGATTCACATCCCTGCCTGGCCAGGACACCCAGCTCTGCAGCCAGCCCTGCGTGACGGGGTYTGGGGCTGCTGGGAGAAGGTGTGTGAGTGCTGGGGGAGAGCTAAGGGTCAACTTTTTGGGGGTGGAGGTGATGAGGGGTTTGGGGGACCTCTGGGACTGTTGAGCTGCAGAAGCTGGAGGTCCCTTGATGTGGGGACATGTTTCTGTCATACTTGTGCCCTCTAGTGGCTTTGTCCTCTCTCTGGTCCCATGGCCACCATCCCGCGGTGGCYGGGGTCACCCTGTGCCTCTGGCACYGCCAGCCTTGGCTTTCTTGGCTGTGGGGAAACGCTGGGYGACAATGCTGGGCTTAGGTGAGGCCAGAAAGGCGCCTGGGCACCACCTGATGGATTCCTCATGGCCATCCCCTGCATGCTGCAAGGGAGGCCTTGTCCTTGGTTTCMAGATGCTTTGGCATGGAAATGCAATTTTTAGATCTTGGGGGAGGCAATGGATTCCACAACCTTTCCAGAGGCTTAATTCCCCGGCCAGAACCGTTGGGTGAGTGACCCCAAAATGTATTTTATTCCAGAAAATCCAATCTTGAGATTTCTAACACAAAGTTTCTCATTTTCGACTGCTCGGGGCTGTTCTCTACCTTTCTATTTCCTCTGTGTTTAATCACATGACAGCCTGAAAAAAAAAAAAAACCCGAGCCCAAGACACTTTTTTCTCATTCTACTGATGTTTCTCTTTTATCTAAAAGAAATAAAACGCTCCTTTGCCTCYGGCCCGTGGCAGCCACCTCGTCTCACTGCGCTCCTGGGGGACAGGATGCCTGGATGCCCTGCGGCTGCTGCCGCCTCCTGTGCGCTTCTCTCCTTCCCCGTGTCTCCTCTTTGCAGGTTTTTGGGCCCTACCCAGAGCTGTGGCGAGGACGGGAGAGGTGGTTTGGTGGAAGGAGCCCAGGTAGGCACCGTGGGTCCCTGCGGTGAGGATTTGGTCCCATGTACAGGGCAGGGTGAGCTCTGTGTCCCCGGCAGGACAGGGGGATGGGGATGTCCCCACGTGCTTGGCAGCCATCCGTGCCCRTGCTGCCTCCACTAGCCGGGGATATTTCCTATCTGAGAGAGCAGATGTTGGTTAGGAGCTTCCTAAGCACTTTCTCTTCCCTCACAGAATTGCTGCTTGGTGAGAGAATTAAATTCCCTTTTGTTGTCAGTTTAGAGGAGAACAAAACCAAGCAGTCACCTGGAGAAATTCTCGCTGCTGCACCCCCAGGGGATGGAACGGCTGCCTCAGGACCGGGATTAGCCCATCACTGAGAAAGCCGATGGTCCCCGAGGGGATTAGACAGACGATCGATGCTCGGATTAGTTTGTGTGGTGGCTGCGGTGACCCGGAGCAGCAGCTCCACCCTGTCTATGTTTGCACCGAGCCAGCCCTTCCTAGTCCATCCCGTGGGCTCTGGGATGGTCCACGAGCAATGTCAGCCCAGTGAGGGGCTGGGACAGCGCTGCAGCAGCCACAGATGTTCTGCGCTTTGGATTTCTCCCCCTTCCAACCTCGTTAGTATTGAAATTAAAAGCAAGTGTTTGTGAATTGGTAGCTGTTCTCCRAGACCCTAATTAGCAAATCTCTTCATCCCCTGGGGCTGCAATCTAATAATAAAATTAAAAAAAAATAAAAAACCAACCAAAAAAGCCCAGCACCCAAACAAGCCCCAAACCTTGTTTGATGGATCGGGAGTGCTGCTGGAACAGTAGGAAACGGCTCTTCCTGCTTAGTATGGTAATTAAACACTTCAATTGCAATTATTTTTGCAATTAGATAAGTCTCTAATTGTTATCATAGGTGGCAGGGGTTTGGGTGTGTGTTTGCCAGTTTTTCTCCGAGCTGGAGCGGAGCGTGGCTGCTGCAGGCGGTTCCGGCCCGCTCCTGCCTGCTTTGTTTGGGGAACACCAGCTCCCCGTGTGCTCCTCGGCAGGGACTCGGCTCCTGCTGCTCTGTAAAGCTGCTGATGGGGCAATTTCTCAATCTGTCCTTGTGCTGAGTGTCCCTCTGTGTCCCAGCAGCGGGATGGGGATGGGACAGCAGGGTATAGAGGGACAGGGAGGCTCTTCCCCGGACAAAACATGCCCGAACAAATCAAGCATCTCATTTTCCTTCTTACACAGATTCCCGTCTTAAACAGATTTTTATATCACTGRTGATTCCTGCACAGGCTTGGGGCAGAAACATCCTCTTTTGGGAGCGTTCACATTGAGCTGCTGGGGAGGGCAGAGCCTGGGGCAAACCCTGGCTGCTCAGATCCTCCCCGTGGCCCTGCAGAGCTCCATTCTGCCTTGCAGCAGGGCTGGGACAGGGAGTGTGTATCAAGGACAGCCCCAGGGATGCCAAACCCTCCCCGGTGTGGGAGGCAGTCCTGCTGCAGCAGGGACACTGAGGGACGGGGATGTCGTGAGCACAGACAGCTGGCACTGGTGAGTGCCACCACCCACCACTCTGAACCGCCCTGCCTCACCACCCCCTCTGAGGGGTGGGTATGGCGCAGGGCACCAGGGCAGGCAGTGCCTCTGTTGCCTTTCTCCATCCTAAGCTGCTGTGCCTGGCACCAAGAGCTCGACTGCAGCCCCTTTGCCCTTTTTCCACCCTGTGCCCTTGCAGCCTGACCCTCTGTTGTGGCTCTGGGGAGGTGACCCCCGTGCCAGCCCTGCCAGGGGCGTGTGCTGGCTTCTGACCCCTCCTCAGGCATCTCTTCCTGCTGAGATGGGGCTGGGGCTTGATGCTCAAACTGTCACTGCCAGGCAGGGCTGGGGAGATGTTCTTGTGCAGCTCCTCCGAGGGCTCTCCAAAACTCCACCCTCCCGGCTGGGCAGAGCAGTGAATGCCAGAGCAGGGATCCTGCAGGGGAACAGAGGGCGATCAGTGGCTTTGCAGGGTTCAGATGGGTCCATCTCCCCCCCTCCCCATCCCAGTGTGTGAGGGATGCTGCATTCAGCTCCTGTTGTGCCTGGGAGGGACCGTGATGCGATGCTGCGAGGATGCTCTCAGCAGAGCACGGCTAAATGCTGAGTGCTGACATTTGGGCAGGGCTGARCAGGCTTGCAGCACCCCAAGATCTATCACCCAACTCCCCCCTGAGCGATATCACTCTGCTTTGTGGTTTTCTCTGCCTGTTCTTCCTGTCCCTCGGACCAGCCAGCAGCAGCAGGGCTGTCAGAGGTGTAACCTGACAAAAGTTGGTGTCCTGAGCTGTAACCTGACAAAAGTTGGTGTCCTGAGGCTGGCAGTGCTCTGCTCCTGTGTGCTGCTTCTCCCATGGCCTTTCCCCCAATATTGCTGTGGATCAGGGATTTTTTTAAGTCAGAGACTCTTTGGGTGGGTGTCCTGTACGAGGTGGCATTTCCTGTCCCCACCCCCATGGTRCAGAAAGGAAATCTGTGGCCAGGCCAGGTCCTCAGATCTCCTGCAAACCTCTCCCCCAGGCCTTTGCTTCACTCTGCTGATTAGATCAGCAGTCTCTCAAGGGATGGCTGGCATTTTGCCTTTACCTCACGGAAACTACAAACTACGTGCGTCTTCGAACACGTGCGCAGAGATGGAAAGCACGAAGCAGAAGAGCAGGAATTGGTGTCCCCTCTGCCCCTGCTGCTGGGCAATGACAGCAGCAGAGATGACTGTGCCTTGTGTCTCACCGCTGAGGGGGTGAGTGCTGTGCCTGCCCTGGGCAGCTTTGCTTTGTGCTTTCCAGACTGGGGGCTTCATTCTGCTCCTTCCTGCAGGGCAGCAACGATTCCTCCCCAAGGAGCTGCATCTGCAGCCTCCACTGCTGTGGTTCTCCTGCTGCTGACGGGCACTGGCGTTTCCAGGGTGATTCAGGGGGAGCAGAGCAGTTTGGTGCTGTTAGGGGGACCCTGTGCTCCAGCACCCTTGCAGCTCTGTGTGTGCACAGAGCAGCAGCTCCTGCTGTTGCTGTGACCTTGGCTAAGGTTAGCAGTGCTCAGTGTGCAGCAGGGATAGGTTGTGCTCAGCTTCCAGCACAGAGGTGACCATGTTTTTTCCCTCGAGGCACAGTCAATATGGAGAGCCCAGGTTATCAGCRAGCAGCGCTGCAGGGAGAGCGTGTGGAGGTCGGGGTGACCTTGCCTGACTCTTCCTGAGAAAAGCTGAGCACAAAGTGGCTCTCTGGAGATGAGAGGCATTCCCCATGCATGGCAGCCATGGCCTCCAGCCCAGCACCGCTTGGAGAGTGCAGCAAAGCCTGGTGCAGCATCAGCTCTTCACCTCGGGAGCCCTGCCAGCATCTCCGCCAAAGCTGCTGGCAATTTATGTGGATGTAGGCTTGCATGAAAATGAAGTGTGCTGGAAATCCGTGGTCTGAATGCAGCTGCCTCTGCAGTGCGTGAGGATGCAGCATCTCCCAGGGCATCTCAGGCTGGTTCTGCAAGCCCAAACCTCCAAGGCAGCCACAGGGAGGGGGGCCCGGCTCTGTGCACCTYCCCTGGGCTTGGGGCTGGGTTTGGAGAGCAAACAGTGCTGGATGAAGGAGTGAAGGTGCACCTCTGATGGTGCCACCCTTTGCACCAGGTGCCATCAGGATGGGATGCCTGAATCAAAAAAAAAATGCAGTGGAAAAATGCCACAGCAGGGACAGGAGCCTCCTCCTTCATCGCACCCAGCCACCCTGGCCTTGTACTCACCTTGCAGCTCTCACCTCTGCTGTCGAGTTTCTCACTGAGGAAAGCTGAGTGTTGTCGTTTCAACCTCACACACAGGATTTTGGGAGAGGGCAGCCAGGAGTTGAAGGCTGGGAGATGTGGGTCCTCGGGCAGTGGGCTGGCTGAGACTCACAGAAAAGCTCCGGTGCTGGAAGGGATTAAATTGCACATGAAGATAGAAAACAGAGGAAAAGAAGAATTGCACATGAAGATAGAAAACAGAGGAAAAGAAGAATTGCACATGAAGATAGAAAACAGAGGGAAAGAAGATAGAAAAATGAAGATAGAAAAATGAGAAAAAGAAGAGAAAAATTACATATGAAGAAGGAAAACAGAGGAAAAGAAGAATTGTGCAGGAAGATAGAAAAAAGAGGAAAAGAAGAGGCCAGTCTGTCAGTCCAGCCTGGCTGAGCCTGGCTCTGCTCTGTGAAGCACCAGGCAGTGTCTGCCCGGTGTCTGTCCCCTGAGGCTGCAGCTGGGGCAGGAATGTTGTGACCAGGAAAGTGATTTTTTTCCAACAGGATCTGGCTTCTCCTCTGCCCATTTATTGTGGCCATAGTCCTGTCCCAGGCTGCTCTAAGCACAGCTGACATGCAAGAAYGTGATCCAGAGCCATTCACTCAGCTCCAGAGTTTTCAGCCCATCCCTGTTAGTGCTCAACACTCCTTCTCTGAGGATTTTAATCTGTCTGGATCTCAGGCTTTGGTCTCACAGCCTGSAGCCATGAGTGTGCCAAGCACCAGGTCTCTTTAGAGCCTTGTCCCACTGTGCTGAAGCAGATTCCTGAGGTCCTTTGCTTTTCTTTAGTGTTTTTGTGTGAATTGCCTTCCTCTCTGCTGCCCCATGGGGCGATGGAATCAGCTCTCTTCCCTTGCACCTCTGCTTGGCCCTGCGCTCTCCACCCCACCTGCTCCTCACCCATGGAAATGCCCTGTGGCTTTTGATTCCCARTCCTGCTCCTGACTGAGCCCTGAGTGACCTCTCAAACTGGCTGCAGTTCCCACTATTCCCACTCTTGTTTGTTGGTCTTTTCTCCATGCCTCCTAACCAAAAAGAACATTGTTATTAAGGGCAGTGGTTCAAAATTCTGCTGGTTGAGCTTTYCCTTGAATGACCCCAAGGAGCTGYTCTGAGCAGAGCTCTTCTRAGCTCTGGGTGCTCTTCTCTGGGGGGTTATGAGTTTCTGGAATGATTTATGTTGGTCTTTTCCTGTTAACATGTTCAGGGCAGATGAGTCGGAAGATTCTGAGTCTTGGAGAGGAAGAGAGGAGAAGAACCAGCTTGGTTTGTGCTGGGGGTGAAATTGGCTGCCAGGTTTTTGGTGAACAGGTAAATCCTGTGCTCACCTCTCTTGGGTGGTGTTAGCTGATCCTGATCACCACCAGCAGACATGGATGTATCTGACTRTGGAAAAAAGGGCTGGAAGGGGCCACAAAGGATCATTGGTGCATCATTGCTGTGAGGTGAGAGGAGTTTGAAGAGAGGGAGAGAAAGTAAAGCGGTGCTTGAACAACTCTTATCTGATTGTGAGAAGAAACCACAGAGGTGATGTTATGTAGGATGGGGAGGAAGCTCTCTGGATTTAGAAAGGACAAGAAACACCCCCTTGCTTGAGTGTTCCCTCTGGGGAACAAGGGGAAGAATCTTTTCTACCCAGAAAAGATGGGAGGGGGAAAGCCAGGAAATCAATGACCCTGCCCTGTGCCTGAGGAACAGAAACCCGTTTCTCTTCCCCTTTTATCTCCCTCCAAGTCATTATTCTYCCTTTGTGGCAAGGCAGCATTTCGAGAAGACATTGACATTTCTATTCTCTTCTCTCTGAGCTGTGCAGGGAAATCCTGGCAGCCTGCTCCCCATGGCCAGCTCTCCCTGCTCAGCTGCAGAACCTCAGAGCTCACACTCCTGTGTGAGTACAGCTCTCTTTGTCCCTGGTGTTTGCAGAAACACCTCCACCACCTCAGACACACATTTTCCCTATGTTTTTACACACAACCTACAATTTACCAAACCCTATAACTCTGGGCTCTTCATTCATCCCTTGGAAACTGAAAAGGCAGCCCCAGGACCYRCATTYYTGTGTTTGCTCTAATCCATCCCTCYGTATCTCTTTTCTGCCCCTGTCCCTGGGGTGAAGTCACGTTGGAGCCCTGGGAGAGGCACGATGCTGTCTCAGCCTTTCGGGTGGCTCTGAACTTTGGTTCACCTCTCTGAGTTCTCCTTTCGGTGGCTTAAATTCTTTTTCTGGGGCAGGATCAAGGGCACGTGCTGCCAGAGCGCACGAGCACGGCTTCTCTGCCGGGGAACGGGGAATCAAAGGACTCCTTATCTGTGGATGGAAAGTTTCTGGGCTGCTTATCAGGCTCTGCTTGGAGGTTAGATTAGTCTCAGGAGCGGCAGATTGACAGCCTGCTTCTCCCTTCGCCTTGTGCTTGGCTGAGAGAGCGCCTGGGAGTGAGGCAGGGGAGGGTGGCACAGCCCTGTGGGTGCCCAGGGAGGGGCTGGGCATGCAGCCTGGCACAGAACTTGCCCATTTTGCTCCCATCCTGCTCTCCCACCACCTCTCTCCCTCGTAACGTGCTTGGGATGACGATTTTTGGCTCTAACTTTACGTGTGTTATTTGTATTTCTAAAAACACTTGCCAACCTAATTTGGGCTACTYCTGCCCCTTTCCAGAGATGGGAATGGAACTTGCTGTTGGCTGAATTCACTGCTGATGCAAACTGATGGCCAGGAAGTGGCCGAGCCACTCTCCAGGGAACTGGGAGCCAGATTTTGGGACTCTCTGGCTGCAGGTGCTCTGACTCTGTGTCCCACAACCAATTCCTGTTTTCCCCTCTGTGYTGGGAGGTTCCTGGGTCCCTGCAGCTCTGTCTTGTGCCCTGACTTTGCTGGGACAGGACTGCTTTTAAGGAGCAGCCCCAGCTAACAGCTGCACCCCATTCTGTACAACAAATTCTGATGGCAAAACTGTCCCAATCACCCAGCAAAGCCAGGGGACATTTTGTGTTCCCTTTGAACGGTGGCAATTCTAGGGGAGGGCAGCTGTGTGGGAAGCTGGAGTAGCTGGAGTTGTGCTACCAGAGTGGAGGGGCTGCAAGCTGGGTTCCCTGTGGGTGGTGATGAATTTTTGAGTGGTACAATTTARGAGTTGCCTGGACAAGGATCTCCTKCTGRGGCATCAGTTTGYTGSTYAAAAGTTCATGGAAAAYGRGGTGTCCCCACCTCTGCCTTCCTCTCTGGGGACAGACCTGCCATCAAAGCCCCGAGTGTGGGAAGGCTCTTACCTCTTGAGGGCTCCATCAGTGAGCAGGGTCCCCTTCTTGTTCCTCACCTCCAGTTTCAAGGGTTTGCCCTCCKGCCTGCCCTGGCCCTGCCTGTCCCTGGGCTGGCCCTTCTGGAGGGGAGGCAGGTGAGAGTTCCTGAGGTGCCCCGTCCTCCAGCAGCGCAGCAAGTGCTGGTAGGCCACTCGGAAATCCCTGTTGAGGGTCCCGTAGAGGATGGGGTTCAGGGCTGAGTTGGCATAGCCCAGCCAGAGCACGATGGACATGGGCGTGCCCTCCACCCTGCCGTCCCCCCACACGCCCCGGTAGGTGAAGACGGTGAAATAGGGGAACCAGCAGACGATGAACGCCCCCAGCACCACTGCCAGCGTCACGGTGGCTTTGTGCTCCCTCACCATGGGCGGCRTGGGGCTGCTGCCCCACGTGTGGTTGATCCTCTTGGCCTGCTCCCTGGCTATCCTGAGGATCTTGTAGTAGGTGATGCACATGATGACCAGGGGGATGTAGAAGGTGAGCAGGGCATCCACCAAGCCGTACACGGGGTTCACGGCCAGCGTGCACTGCTTGTGGCTGGYGGGGCCCGTGTTCTGCACGGCCGTGCCGTTGGTGTTCCAGCCCAGGTGGATGGGCAGGAAGGAAACCATCAGCGAAACCGTCCAGATGACGACCAAACCCACGGCCACCCGGGACGGAGTGACCAGCTGGCGGTAGCGCAGYGGCGTGGTGACGGCGAAGTAGCGGTCCAGGCTGATCATGAAGAGGTTGAGGATGGAGGCCGTGCACAGCATGACGTCCAGGCTGGTGTAGATGTTGCACAGAACGCTGCCAAAGGGCCACTCCTTGGCCAGCTCGTAGTAGGCGGAGAAGGGCAGCACCAGGAGGCCCAGCAGCAGGTCTGTGATGGCCAGGGACACGATGATGCAGTTGGTCAGGCTGCGCAGACGCCGGTCCAGGGTGACGGCCAGGCACACRATGATGTTACCACAGAGGGTGATCRTGATGAGGATGACGAGGAAGGACCCGACCAGCAGCTGCAGGGGAAAGTCCAACCTCTTTTGAGCGCTGGTGTGGTTGTAACACGGATCCATGGTGCTGTTGCATGGATGGAGCAGTCCTGCTATCATCAGCTCCAGAGCTGCTCRGAGCCTGTGCCAGGCAGGCCTAGAGCCCTTCCCAGAGCAATCCTTGGTCTGCAGTGACCTTGGAGAACATTGCAGAGTCACTTTTCATGTTCAGCCTTGTGTGCTGGGAATGACATGGCCTAGGAATGGTGTGCCCCTGCAACTCACTGGTGCCTGTTTGCCCCTTCTGGGAGCTTGGCGCTGGAGATGATGCCCTGGCAGCTGCTGGTGGGTCTCAGCTGCCCCTTTTCCTTTCCTGCCTTCTSCTTTCCTCTGAGAGAACATGGGGTCAGGTCCTGTGGGGTCTCATGCCCTCTGTGTATGTGGTCAACACTCCTCCAGCAGGGACAGAGCTTTGCCACCTCCCGAGGACAATCTGCAAAAGAATGTGTCTGGTGAGAGCCTGGTAGGGGTKGGCCAGAGAAGCTGTGTCTGCCCCACCCCTGGAAGTGTCCAAGGCCAGGYTGGAGGGGRCTTGGAGCACCCTGGGACAGTGGAAGGTGTTCCTGCCATGACAGAGGGGTAGAATGAGATGCTCTGTAAGATCCATTCCAGCCCAAACCATTCYRTGATYCTGTGAAAGCACCAAGTCAGAGCTGCAGTGGGTGAAGACCCTTTGAGCTTCCCTCAAACCCCTCCAGAAACAGGGTGTCTGCACCTCCCTGGCTGCTCCAGCCCACTTAAACCCAAACTGGAAAGTCCTTTGGCAGCCAGGCACCCATGTACSTGCCAGCTGGGCTCTCCCAACCCTAGGGGTGCCCATGTAAGGGGGGGGATGTTGAGAGAAGGGCGGGGATTTTAAAAGCATCRTGTTCCTGTAGGCTCACAATAAAAGTGAGAATGAGGAGGATACAGGAAATAGTCTTCCTGAGAAAGCAGCTCTCATGCAAATTAGTCACCACTACAGTAATTTCTGAAGCTTGGCTGTGGCTTCGAGTCCCATTAAACTTTGCCCTTGTGTTTGTTTGTGCTTTGCAGGAGCCCATGCTCTGGGCTGGTCCCTGACATCACAAAGGACAGCAGCTYCTGTAGCCTGTACAGGAAATCCCCACTCTCCTCTGGGTCTTGGGAGGGAAGAGGAACATCCCTTGTAGACTTACTTTTTCTAGCTATTTTCTGTCTGGATAGAAATAACAAAAATCCACATTTTTGCAAAGGAAGAAACAACAGAGCAAACCACTCTAACTTCCAGACGAGCTGCGGATTCGGGTGATCTCCGAGACCCCACCTCTACTAGATTCAAAGGCTCCTGTGTGATTGGAAGCAATATCCGTGTTGGGAAGATACCTAAAGGGAAACTGAGGCACTGCAGGGATGAGACAGAGGGCTGGACTGGCTGTACTGGAGCTGACTGTGTCTGAGACGTGATTTCCCACCATGAACATCCCAGATGAGATGAGGGGTCTTCCCATCCTCCTTGACGTGCTGTTCCCCCTGGGTGGTGCAGGACTCAGCTCTCCAGGCTCTCTGCACCCCATGGAGCAGCTGTGAAAGTAGAACTGCTTCTCTGCAGAGCACAATGGGCTGCAAAGATGGAGAAATCGGAAAAAACTCCAGGAAAGGAAAAGGTCCAGCCTTGTCAGAGGACAAAGGTGAGATTTTAAAATTAAACTCCCCCTTGCAACAAGATATCAGTGTGGCGCAGGTTCTAATACTCTTCAGATGATTTATTTCTTTGATTCAAGGCTAAAAGTATGGGGAAGGAGTACACCAGGGAGACTGCAGTAAAAACCACTGATTGCCAGGAGCTGTATAGGGGAGAGATTGGGACTGGACCACTGAGATTAGAGGCGATACCCACAGCCCTGCTGCTCCTGAAGGCATGGAAAACGAACAACAAACCATGAACCAGCCTGGGGGAGAATCCTTTTGCTGAGCAGAGCAAACTCATCGCCAGACAGGAGGTCCTGTGAGTTTGGGTGATCAAGGCTGTCGGGAGAGGGACGTGATGCTTTCAGCCACAGCAGCAGCGTGTGGAGCGGTTCCTCACCTCCAGCTGCAGCTCAGGCTCTCGCCATGGAAAGCTCTTTGTTCGTGCACAAAAGCAGCGCGGAACAAGCTGAACGCTGCCTGCCCACTGACGGCAGCGAGGAGAACAGGTTGTTCTCACACAAGGGTATTTCCAAGTGAAAGGGATGTTTTTGCRTTGCTCCCAACATGTGGAAATGGCAGATTAAATTATAGGGGGAGTAGCACTCTTAGAAAATGCCGTGGGTGGAYTGCAGCCTCCTACGTGGCTGCTCCACCACACACCAACAGCCTGCTCGTGCCTCTGGCTCTCGCAGCTCACATGGGCTCTGCTGGTGGGTCCCAGCCCTGGGCACATGGTCATGTTTGGCTCCTGCCACGGTGCCAGGGCAGCTCTCGGTGCAGCCCTGCACTGCTGGCGTGCCCAGAAGGAGTTGTGCTTCTTAATTGCTTTTTCAGATTAGCTCAGGGCAAGGAATGGAGACTTGCAAGAGGACAGAGGTGTCCCCATCCCTGCAGAGGAGGCCAAGTAGAGTTCCCTGTGGCTGCAAGGCTCAGCTTCCTGCAAACCCTTGGGTTGTTCCTCCATGGAATGGGGCAGGATGTGCTGCCTGCCAGCTCGGATGTGTGATGCTGCAACCCTGGCTGTGGTGGGCATTGGGAAAGTGGGAGACTTTCCCGTATCCCTCACCCAAATCATCTCACAGAAACCTTCCCCCAGGTGAGCACAGCCTCTGGACGTGGCTCTGCAGGAAAAGCAGGCTGGAGGGCTGGTATAGATGGGGGGCTGTCAGCTCGCTGCCGTCAGGACACAGACCCTGGATGATGCATCCAGCTCAGGGCTCTCTCCTGGAGCCCTGYCACTCTCCTGGCCCTCTGTCACTCCACACGTGCCCCTGGCTCTCTGCCCAGGTCACTCCAGCCCCCTTCAGTACCCRTGTCCTTTGCTCCCGTTGTGTTTTGGCACAGGGAGTTGGTTTCCTCCTCCATGTACGAGTGCAGCAGCTGTTTCCCATGGCAGTCTTTCCAGCAACAGCCGGAATAAATGATACCCTTCCAGCCCTGTCTCACCAGGCAGCTTTTACATTTACCTGATTATCCTCATTATCACAGCCTGGACCTGCTCCYGGTTCAAAATCACCCTCCTCACACTGAAGGAACCAGAGCAGGGCACTGCTTCTGGGTCATCTTTCTGGTGCTGGCATTCTGATGGATGCCAGCTCAGCTGTGAAGACTTGTCGGGTTGCATTTGTTTTGTTGCAGTCATCCTGGGGTTCCCTAATATCCAGATATTTTTCCTATGGTGTTTTCAGCTGTTTAGAGGMGCACTTTTTGCTGTTAGACCCTRAGCATATGAGCTTGTGCCAGCCTGSTGTGTTTCTGTTAATCWTCTGATCCTCTGSTTCTTCTCCTGTAGCACCTAGTCCTTTGTCCARTGCAAAACTTTTCCCAAGTTTCTCACCAGTACATTTCTCTTAAAGGARCCCTCATTTTCTGAGCCAAGATCACTAATGAAAACCATTAAATATAATTTACCTCTAGGCTGATCTTTAAGGAACTCTGTTAATAGCCTTCTCTGGTGCACTAATGATCCTTCCGTCGTAATATCCTCGCGTCTCCCCATTATCCTCTTTACAATTCTCATAGTAATTTCTGCCTTCTCTTGCCTGAACAGATATTTTCTACTCTATTGCAGTCCATGGTGCATTTGATCCACTGTGTTCCCCTTTAAAATGGCATTTATCTCCTCTGGGGAGGGGACTGTGATTTATTCACAGGAAATTTCTGTTGCATTTTACCTTTTTATCCCCCCTCCCCGTCTTTCAGCATTCCTTCCCCYGACATCATTAATTCCAGCACTTTGTGCACTTTTGCAGTAAGATTAATGGGATGCAGTGCCTGCTCCAGCCGGGAATGCATTGGCTGCTCTCCCTCCTGGTGCTTCTACTTCTGGCATAAGAGATTTGTTTCAAACCTGTAAAAAGCCTGGGTACATTGGCACCATGAGCAGGTACCGGGGCAGAGAGGAGCACTCTGCCTCCSGTGTCAGATTTTTTCCCAGAAAAGTGCTGACAGAAATCACTTAGGAGCAAAGTGAATTTCCTGGCTGTGCAGAGCTCACAGCAGAGCATTGTGGCTTTTTTTTCTAAAATGATGTTCAGCTCCTTCCTGAGATCAAACATCTGGGCGTGCTGGGAGTGGTRCTTCAGCCAAAGATGGGCAGGAGTGTGGGGGTTTCTTCTGGTCTCAGAGAGGATGTTTGAGGTTTGACGGTGGGAATTGCAGAACTCCCAAGCTGGGAATGTGCTTCTTGATCCCCGGGCAGACCCATGAGCCTGACTCACAATGGGACAAGAGCAAATTTGCCAGAGGTAGGAGTTGAAGGCAATGTGAGAGTGGACAAATGTGAGGGGGCACAGGTGTCCTGCCTGGCAACATCCCCAGACACTTTTTTTCCCTCTCCCTGGGCTTCTCCAGATCCTGGTGCTCTCTCTGCCCCATCCCAGTGTGATGTTTAATTCAAAGCAGCAATTATTGCCGCTGGCATGAGCAGAGGGGCTGGGGGAGGCAGCACAAAATTCCATCACTACCACCAGCCCTCCATCGTGCCTCCTTAGGAGGAAAGGAGCTCAGTGGGTAAGAAGCTGCTCAGGACCCCTGAAAGCAGGAAACATGAGAGCTATGAGGAACCCAGYAGAGCAGGCAGCATTTCGAAAGTTTGCTCGGCAGAGAGTGCCCAGGAGAGATGAAACTGAAAACAGAGGTATCAGGATGTTCTTGGAGCTGCCGGAGTTTCTGGGCTCAGCCTCCTGCTGCAGCCTGTCCTGGAAGGGAGACAGCGAGAACCACGCACCCCTGGGGACTGTCCAGCCCTCCTGCCCTGCAGCAGGTGCCCAGCAGCTGCCAGGGCGTGGAGAAACCGGAGGGCTCGGAGAAAGGGCTCGGGCAGCTCGGTGCAAGCTCCCCAAACCCCGTGGGGAGGCTGCTGGGGCAGGGATGCTGCACYCCACAGATGTGCAGGGCTCTGCCTCTGTGCCCGTGCCCAGGGCACACCCTTCCTCTGACCCTAACGCTCTCAAATCCACCTGTCACCACCAGCAACACCCAGAAAAGTCCCCAAACTGTCCTCCACTCCAGCCACAGGACGCTGAAGGCACAAGGGTTTCATGAGTGACACCCTCTTGCTCTGACCCGGCTGCCCCATTGCAGGRTCCCACTCAGCAGGGACCCACCAACCCCTCTGAATCTCACTTTGAAAGTTTTACCAGCGTAACAACTAAGCAAGAAGTAAGGCAAAAGCTTTACCTGGGAAAGGGGCTGCTTTCCCCGAGCCCCTGAGCGCGGGGAGCCCTCGGTGGCCGCGCTGTCTCCAACTTTCCCCGGCTGCGTGCGGCTCAGTTGCCAAGGCAGAAGCGTGCGCTGCGAGCCGCGGCTCTCTCCGTCCCTCTCCTCTCCTCCTCCCTCCTCTCGKACCAATATCCAGGCAGCGGTGACTGCAACATGACTCAGACCTCAAGTGGGTGGGATCAGAGCCGTGAACTCGCCCTCCGAGGTTATCATCCGGCAAATTTGAAATGCTCAAAGTGAGCGCGGCTCCGAGAACGCGGCGTGTCGGGCTCTGCCGAGCCGTGCCTGGCACGGAGATGGGGGTGGGATGCCGGCTGCCTCCCGCTGCTGCTTTTTTTGTGTGCTGCCATCACCTTCCTCGCTCACCTGAGGTTTCAGGGCCCTYGCTGCCCGGTTTGCCATGTGCAGATGTTCCCTCCTTCCCTCCCGGCTCTCTTCTTGCCGGCTGTCAGGAGCTCTGATGCCATCACTCGCTCCCAGTTTTTGGCTTTGCAGTCCCTGCGAGTCCCCTGAGAGCAAGCACAAACCTGGAGTGGGATWTCAGGGATGGCTCAGGGAGGACGGTGACTCTTGTGTTGAACTGGGGACAGACAAGGAWGAAGGTGAGGTGGCTGTAAAGTGGGTGGAGGAGACTGGAAACCAGCCAGCATTGGGGTGCACGTTTTTTCCTTGTGCGAGTGGACGTGGCAGGAAAAGCCCACACGGTTTCATCTTCCCCTCAAGGCTGCGCTCACCTCCCCTGAAAATTGTCTCCTTTGCGTGCAATAGCAGGGAGGAACCACACGAAATGACAAACAGGCTGTGACAGCCTTTCGTGTCTCTCAAATCTTTCATCTGTGGGTTTCAAAGCACTATGCAAATATCAGCTGCTGGGCCAGCTGTGYGAGGAATTGTTTCCCCTTTCAGCTCTCCCTCCCGAGCAGAGCAGGTCCCGGGCTGGCAGCAGAACTCCAGCAAAGCTTGGCCACCCCCTTGGCTCTGCAGTGTTGGGAGTGATGCTGTGTGAGAGAGGTGCTCAGTCCCCACCATTTCCGAGTTCCTCATGCAAATAGCCACGGATGGACTAATTGCAGAGTGGATGTGGCCCTGGGCACACTCCCCGCTGCTCCCTCATGGGGCTGGGCTCTCCCACTGCCCTGCCCTGGCAATGGAGAGCACATCCCATCCTYACTCTGTGCCAAACGGGGATACCAGCAGCTCTGGCACACAGACCAAAATGCCTTTGATCTGTTTATCTCTGCAGACCAAAGCACAAATCTATCTTTAATAAGCTCATGGAACCCGAGTGTTTTCCCACTGATCAGCATCCCTGTGATGTGTCTGGGGTAGCTGAGCYGTGCACTGGCTGTCAGATGCTTCTCAAGTGGCTGGGGTGTGCAGAGTGTGGACACCGAGGGATCCCTCCTCACAAACAAGAWTCAAATCTGCTCAGGAATGTCTGCGTCAGCCAAAGTCGCTGGGGTGCTGATTTMTTACAGGGGCCCTTGCTTGGCTCTGCCCTGTGAGGGATCTTTCATCAGGAAATCTCAGGATGGCAAGTGCCATGTAAGGCACAAAGTGCTGTGGTTTTTGGGGCAGGACTCCCTCTGCTGCCCCCTTGCATTAATCCCTTTCAATAAAAGGCCCCTGGTGTCCTCAGGCAGGCTCTGGGTTCAGTGTGCCCTAAATTCCCAAAGCCTCTGGAGAAATCTGAGGGTGCATTTTGGGATGCAGTGACGGAGCASCTTCAGACTTGCAGGGGCACCTGAGTGGAAACCACCACTTCTGCAAACCCTCAGGGACAGGAGAGCCTCAGACTCTGACCTTGTGCAAGGGCTGGGTGGCTGTGGGGCTGTGTGAGGTCAGACACTCCATCTGAGCTCACTGCAAGGCTCATCCAGCCTGCGTGGACTGCACAGGGAGTGCGGGAAGGCAGCTGGATCTGGAGCTGAAAGGATCTGTGCAGGGGCACTCCCGATGGCACAAATCACTGTGCTCTGTGCATCTGCACCCTGGGAGCGCCAGGTGCAGTCCCTGCAGAGCCTGGGGCTGGAAAATGCCATCGTTGGCGAGCTCTGAAAAGAAATGAGGCACTTGTTACTCATCAGACCTGATGGCTGAGCTGCCACATGGGCTGGCTGGGCTGCGCGGGGCAGCAGCCACTGGGGACGCTCAGAAACTGGAATGTTCCCCGAGAGGACCGTACTGAGCCAAGGAATGAGTAATGGGTCAGGAAATGGTAAGAGGTCTCTGACATTCTGTGTCTGTGTGTGTGTAAGCAGCAGTTATTAAAGGCTGCAGCAATGCYGGGAGATGGGAAAGTGCACGAGGAGTCAGAGAAAGTTTGGAACTCCAGGAATGTGAGATTTGGCAAAGACAAGAGCTCCTGAAAAGCCTCAGACGGTGGAGATATGCCTGGAAGGTAGCAGCCAACCTGGGAAATCACATATGGCAGCTCAGCTCTGAGAAGAGCTGAGAGGTGCAGCTCTGAGCTGCTCTCTCCAGCATGAGCTGGGTTTGGAAGAGCCAAAAGAGGAGGGGGAAGGGGAGTAGAAAATGCATAGAAAACAAAGCTTCTGGGTGCAGAGCAGCTCCTTGGGCAGTGCAGGTTGAGAGGGGTTGGTGAAGTGTCGGGTTGAGTTTTAGAGACGTTTGTGTGGRCTCTGGCAGAAGATGGTGGATTGGGGAAATAAACTTGGGCTGAGTTGTTTTCTCTGGAAAAATCAAAAGTAAAATCTCATGGAAAGGTACTGACCCYACCACAGGCTGCTGAACTTCCTGGCTAGCAGGGAGAGGCCAGTAATTTACTCGAACCATCTGAATACTTGGATTTCCAGTGGATTATATACACKATGCAAATAAACAACAGAGACCTCCACGATGTGTTAATAAGCTTTTCTCCTTTTTTAAACAAATAATTTCCAGTGAAATCTTGTGCTGGACAAAAGGATAAATGATAACAGAAATGGCTGATATTCCCTGCCAGGCACTGTGTAAGCCAGCCAATACTCGTGGGAAATAAATATTACAGGGAAAGAACATGTTAAAMATCTGCATTGAATCCGGGGCTGTGCGAGGAACTGCTCCTGCCTGCAGCCTGGGCAGCTCCCCGGGGTGGTGGGAGACCCTTGCAGGGGTRGGCTGAGCTCCAGGGCAACATCCTGCTTGCGTATGTATTTCTGGCATGCCATAAACCCTGGCTTTTCCAGGAATATTTGTGTCCACAGGCACCTTTCCTGTACTGGGACGGGTGTAATGGAAAAAGAGAGGGTGCTCGGGGCCTTTCCCACCCTTTTGTTTTCTGCAATGCTGATCCCAGGGATGCTTAGCAGGATCCCATCTGCTGTGCTATAGTGTCAGACTATAGGCACAGCCTGTGACATACATCTCAAGCTTCTCTGAGCGCAGACAGAGGATGTTGGAGGTTTATTTCCAGGTTGTCGGTTTGTTTGCATTACACAAAGCTCTGCAAGCTCCAGTGAGTGTATGAGAGTGCTGCTGGCTCCTGGCTGCCATGGAGYTCCTTCAGGGTGCTGAAGGCTCACATTTTCCAGCGTGTCCAGGGTCAAGGAGTGTYCTCTTCTCAGCTCTCAAACAGAGCTGCTCCTGGATTAAACCGTGCTGGGGAGGGAGCAATCTGTGCACACCAGCACTGGRGTTTTCATCTCTCTGGCACAGCACAAAGGGAAAAGGATCAGCTGAGGTCCATGGGAGGAGGTGATGATCATTCCCTCCAAACCCAAAAGGCTGTGAGGGGAGCAGGAGCCTTGGCACAGTGTGACCCACCCTCCCTGGGAAGGGAGMAACTGGCCCTGGCTCCAGTGAGTGGGTCTTTATGGGCTTTATCACTAATCCTGCCGAATGAAACTGTGCACATCCTTGTTTTCCAGATAAATATTTAATCCTCCTCCAAACAGGGCTGAGCTCGTGGCCTGGGTGATAACTTGTGGTTAATTGGGGGCTGTGCAGAGCTGTTGCCCTCTGTGTGAGGAGGAGGCTGAGCCGTGGTCCGGGAGCAGGGTGGGAAAATGGAATGCTCTACACCTCACCCCTGCTCAGAACCCCTCCCAGCATCCCTGGGCCCTCTGTCAGGAGGGTCAGCAATTTCTGAGGGAATGAGCTGTCTGGTTTCACTTTGGGCTGAGATAAATCAGTTCTGTGTATGTAAGAGCCTGTTGTGAGGCCGTTTGGGTGCTTTAGGAGCTCTCAGGGCTGGAAGGCAGCTCTTCCCAGGGAAGGATTCCTTGCTCCAGCCCCAGGTGCTTCCARAGCCTTTCCCTGCAGAGCTGGCAGGAGGCTGAGCTGCTGGGCACGGGGCAGGAATGAARGGATTAGCAAAATGCTCCCCTGCAGCGGCACCGCCGTGGGGCTGGCATGGAGCACGGGGCTCTGGCTGTGAGCTGGCTGCAGGCATTGCCTGAGCAGGCTGCTGGCCACCACTGCCCCTGTGCTGGGACCCTGCTGGGACCCTGCCTGAGCTGCCAGCACGAGCAGATGGGGCACGGGGACGCCCTGTGAGGACTGAACTCGAAGCTAAAGCATGGGATGAGGAGCTGGGCACTGCTGTGGGTGCACAGTACCAGCAGCGYGTTCCTCTGTGCCACCTCCATCTCCTGCCCCGCTGCCCATAATTGTGCCAAAACCAGGGCTGTGTCTGGGGCTGGTGAAAGCAGTGGAGGATCTCTCTGCCCTGCCCCACAGTGTGGATGTTCTCTGATGCAGGAGGGAATTCTCACAGCCCCAGTCTGGATCCTGCCTGGTACCACCCTTGTCTCCTTGACCTGGAGCATCTAACAGGGAGAGCAAAGCCAACAGTGCCCATCCTCTTCACGGGGGCTGGAAAGCCCCCAAGAGTGAAGAGCACACAGGGCAGAGGCATGGAGAATGTCCCCTGAGGAAAGGCTGACGGGATTTTGACGGAGCAGATGTCGTCACCTTCTCGTGTTTCTGGTTTCACCACAGGAAAGGTGAGTAGGAGCTCTGTACCCCTGAGAGAAGCCGCAGCCAAGGGCTGAGAGCGAAAAATCGAAGATTAATTTAGACTTACTCATCGTAAGGATAGTAATGCACTGGAAGGAATTTCCYAAGGAAGTGTAGGTTGGACAAAGTCCCAAAGTCACCAGGGAGCTGGAGCACCTGGCCAGCAG